AATGTGAGAATGCTTGGAAATGGCACTGCAAAATTGGATCACTTACTGACAATCGGGCGAACAGATTCTGGATATACTAGACTTGGATATACTGGAGGGAGTAAAAACAAAGTAGGAAACTTTGTTTCAGGAGGAAAATTTGGAGATGAAGTGATCTCACAAGTACAACAGACTCCAAAGATCAAGATTGATCTATATCCAAGACAAAGACCGCAGAACTATCGTGAGCATCGCACTTGTTTCTACTGTGGAACAAGATGTCACATCAGAATGAATTGCTACTACTGGCAAAATTATCAGGTACCACCCACTCTGAGATGGAGGCAAGTCTGGAGAAGAAAAGATGTCTCGAGGTGTAATGTGGCATACACTTCTGAACTGAAGTCAAGCGAACAACGGTGGTATTTTGACAGTAGATGCTCACGTCATATGACAGGAGATGTCAATATGCTGTCTACATTTGAAGAAAATCTCAAAGGAGGAAACGTGACATTTGGAGATGGAAGAAAAGGAAAGATCTTGGGCAAAGGAAATCTGGATGCATCAGGACTGCCCAAACTTACAGATGTCAATGTTGTCCAAGGACTCAAGGCAAATCTCATAAGCATCAGTCAACTGTGTGATTCTGGATTTCAGGTAAATTTCACTAAAGATGCTTGTGTTGTTACAAACTTTCTTGGAGATTGTGTGTTGACAGGAAAAAGAACTCCAAGTAATTTCTACACTTGGGTAAATCCTGTCGAAAGCACTCAAAGTGAGAAGTGCTTCACAGCAGCTGACTCTGAACTCGAGTTATGGCATCAACGATTGGGACACATTAACACAAGGTCGTTGGTAAAACTGTCAAAGTCAAATGCTGTGCGAGGATTACCTGAGTTATCATCGCAGGTAACACTGGTGTGTAAAGCATGTCAACTTGGAAAGCAAATCAAGGGAAATCATAAAATGATCGATGGGATACACACATCTGAAATCCTCGAGTTGATGCACATGGATTTGATGAGACCAATGCAGACGGAGAGTCTTGGAGGAAAGAGGTATGTGTTTGTATGTGTTGATGATTTCTCACATTTTACTTGGGTCATGTTCCTAAGAGAGAAGTCAGAAAGATTGGGTGTATTCGAACACTTATGGCTGCAACTCCGAAATGGAAAAGGTAGTGTTCAGAGAATTCGGAGTGATCATGGGCGTGAATTTGAAAATGAACAGTTTGCAGAATTCTGCAACAAATATGGGATTGTCCATGAGTATTCTGCACCTAAAACTCCTCAACAAAATGGAGTGGTTGAAAGGAAGAATAGGACACTGCAAGAAATGGCGAGAACAATGTTACATGCAAGAAACGTTGCGAAACGTTTCTGGGCAGAAGCGGTAAGTACGGCATGCTACCTTGTCAACCGCGTCCATATCAGACCAGGCACAGCCAAAACTCCATATGAAATATGGAAAGGTAAGACCCCTCCTCTGAAGTTTGTTCATATATTTGGTTGTCGATGTTTTGTGTTAAATGATCGAGAATACCGAGGGAAGTTCGATGCCAAAAATGATGAAGGTATGTTCTTGGGTTACGCAGTGAACTCTGCTGCCTATAGAGTATACAATTTACGCACTAGAACGATTATGGAATCAGCTAATGTTGTCTTTGATGAGGAACATAGTGCAGAGCAGAGTGAAGTCCCGCCGAAACTACTTCACGATGTTCCCAGTGAGCACTCGGTAGAAGAACAAAGTGACAATGCAGAAGTTGAGACCAAGGAAGAAGAAGATTTGGAAATTACTCCTACACCTACAGTTCACAGGAATCATTCCGAAGATGATGTGATCGGAAATGTACTCGATCCCATGCGTACACGAGGTAAAAGGATGAATTATCAAGATATGGTACGTTTTGTGTGTTTTGCTTCGCAGAATGAACCTTCTCGAGTGGATGAAGCATTGAAGGACGAATTCTGGGTAAAGGCAATGCACGATGCTGGAGCAATTTGTGAGGAATGATGTGTGGTATCTTGTGCCCCGACCAGATCACATTAATGTGATTGGAACGAAATGGATCTTCAAAAACAAAACCAATGAGTCGGGAGAAGTAGTTCGAAATAAAGCCAGGTTAGTCGCTCAAGGATACACACAAGTGGAAGGTATTGACTTCGATGAAACTTTTGCACCCGTTGCTCGACTAGAGTCTATTAGATTGTTGCTTGGCATTGCGTGTTTTCTTGGTTTTAAGTTGTTTCAGATGGATGTCAAGAGTGCCTTTCTCAATGGTGTGATCCAAGAAGAAGTGTACGTCGAACAACCTGCTGGTTTTGAGGATCCACATTTTCCCACTCACGTGTACAGATTGAAGAAAGCTCTCTACGGGTTAAAACAAGCCCCTCGGGCATGGTATGAACGATTAGCCAGTTTTCTACTCGAGAACGGCTACAAAAGAGGGGGAGTAGACAAAACGCTTTTCATCCATAATTCGGACGATGTACTATTAGTAGTACAAATCTATGTGGATGATATTGTGTTTGGATCTACATCCCAGTCAAAGGTTGACTGGTTTGTTCAGACAATGACTGCTGAGTTTGGGATGAGTATGTTTGGAGAACTCAGTTACTTTCTGGGACTACAAGTCAAGCAAACCAATGATGGAATCTTTGTCTCTCAAGGGAAGTATGCTCAGAATCTGGTGAAAAGATTTGAACTTGACATGAGCAAATCAGCACGTACTCCCATGTCCACAACCACCAAGTTGACCAAAGATGATGAAGGAGAAGATGTTGATCCAAAACTCTATAGGAGTATGATCGGGAGTCTACTGTATTTAAAGGCAAGTAGACCTGACCTGTGCTTAAGTGTGGGCGTATGTGCCAGATATCAAGCAAAACCTAAGAAATCTCACCTTCTGTCAGTAAAAAGGATAATCAAATATGTCAAAGGGACAGTTGATTATGGGCTACATTACACAAAGGATACGAGTACGCATCTAGTAGGATACTGTGATGCAGATTGGGGAGGAAATACGGATGATCGAAAAAGCACATCAGGAGGATGTTTCTTTTTGGGTAACAATCTCGTATCATGGCACAGCAAGAAACAAAA